TTTTAACATAGTAATTTCTGAAGCAAAATAAATTATCTACCATCTGCTATGTTGGGTAAAAGTCCTACCTAGCATCTTCTCGGGAACTACTAGAACATCACTTTCTCACAGACTAAGTGAAGTGGTATCTCACCAGCGATTTGAACTCTTTTGTAGCTGCATGTAAACATACCTTTCGATTAATGTTTCAAACGCGTAGAGTGAATCGTAACGTTACGGGGAAGCAGAAACGGAGCTGCCGAAGGAGAGCTGCACTGGTGTTAGTGAGGGGAGCGAGGGCTGGTTCGCTCGGACACACACACACACACACGCACACGCACAATCTGGCAATGGGATCTTATCCGCGAAGTGTGGAGGGGTGGTTGAGAAGGCATCCGTTTGCGAGCAAAGCTTGAAGGACACAAGTCGAGATTCTCTGTGCACAACTGTCCGCTTTAATCAGAATTGACTCGCGCTACTGGGGTCGCACTGTAACAACCGCACGATGGAGGGATCGCTCTTGGCACCTTTGATGAACTCTTCCAGTGACAGTTTACCTGAAATGGAGGAAAACCAAAATGGAAATAATGGGGGGGGGGAAAAAAAAAGGTCAGTTGCAGCTGCCACCGTCGCTGTAGCTTAAAAAAACCCCCTCCTCACCGAAGCAACATACGTATATTTAATCTATCGCAAAGGCATCGAGGGGAATTTAGTGCAATGCACAGCAGCCAAATCCTACTCAAGCCCTTAAGCCCAGATGCATTTTTCTTCTGCAAAACAATCTAGCATAATAATTGCTATTTTTTTATTTAAAAAGACAGTACCAAATACAAAAACAACTGTTCTAATATCATTTGGCTGTTTTTTGCCCAGAACAGGACTATACAAATTACATGACACAGGAACACAAGGTATAGTACCTGAACACATGTACACTTTGAAAATGATGCTTATATTACTATGACATTTTAAACCTAAATATCCCACATCTCCCCACTTTGCACCCTCATGGTTTGTGGTGACACGTAGGGCTGAGCAGCAATGGCTTGTCCTGCACCTACAAGGCCAGGGTGGACTCTGAGCAGCCTGGTCTAGTGAACGATGTCCCTGCCCATGGCAGGGGGGTTGGACTAGACGGCCTTTAAAGGTCCCTTCCAACCCAAACTTTTCTGTGATTCTATGACTCTACAAGCCACTTGCTGAGCCCCGCTGGGTACACAGGAACAGGACCGGTTTCATGCGGCAGCAAGAAAAGCCACCCAGTGCCACGTGTTGCTCCTGCGCATTTCTGGTTTATACATCTTTAGGGCAGATGCACTGACTTGGACCGGACCCTGTGACAGTCCGTGGGTCTGACAAGGTGATCTCTGGAGGAGCAACCAACGAGCAGCAACCACCCCAGCACCCCCTGGCTCCAACGGTCCCGTGGCACGGTATGGTACAGCGAGGAATAAAGATCCCATCTTGTCTCCCAGACCTCATCCTGGGGCAAGCCAGCCTCTCGGCAGGTTTTTCCCAAGCTCAGGACCAGTCCTCTGCAGAAATGCCATCAGGAGCCTGTGAGCAGACGTTGCCTTGCCTGCTATCACCAATACTCTCCTGCTCCAGCACTCTGAACCATGGCAGAAATAACCCGTAGCAATATTAATGAGAAATGAAACAGTTTTCCTTACGAACTGAAAAACAGACAAGCGTTTGCTGCATTCCTGACACCATGTCCCATGATCTCCCGTCCATCCCATGCTCCCAGCACAACCCATGCCAGCCTCACACATCCTTACCCAACCCAAACCGCTCCGCTTGAGACAGGCAGGACCCACGCACGAACACCTTGCACTTGGCAGCTGCCTGCTGCCACTTTTGGCCACGTGCCCCCAAAGGGAGGGAGGCACAAGCTCATCGCGCCGGTTTTCACCAGCCCCAGGATGCTCTCAGCCTGCCGCGGGGACGGGGAGAGGACTGAGCTCGGTGGCCCAGCACCTGAATCAGGTCGAGTGGGGAGGAATGAGCAAAATCTCCTCTTGGAGAAATTACAGAAGCTCAAAAACCTGTGGCACACTTCTGTCCTAGTTTCTGGTTTTTAAGCTAATGTTCCCAAACCCAGTGTTTTCTTAAGTTTTTTATCAGTCTGAGAAAGAGTACTCAATTATCAGGATGTGTATTGGTTTTCCGCTTTCCTTGCAATACTTAAAAGCAAAGCATAAAGCAAAATCTATTTGCAATGTCCAACCATAAGATGGGGAAGAAGAAACATTTCCAGCCACCAAGAGCATCTACACGCAGACCTTATTGCTCGGCACTGCGTGGCTTGCAGGGCTGGTATGTTACTGGGAAGAGGATGACTTCATGTCAGCAACCAAGTACAACAGATGGATGATGTACAGAGCAGGTTTTGAGACCACTACTCTGTTGCACATGTGTACACGCCACTACTTTCCACAGAACAAAAATACTTTAATCATGTTATTTTAGGGCTCTCCACCTGTGAAGTCAGGGGATGAAGTGCTAGTTTTGATGAAGTCAAAAGTAAAATACTCGAGGACTTCAGCAAGGCCAGGAATTTGCCCCAGAGGCTGCAGCAGTAGATGCCAAAACGCAGCCATAAAATTCTCTTAAACAAAAACCTTTCTATGCATAAGGTCACATTTTGTCAGGTCTCCATATCCCAGTGCTAGAACCCAATCTTTGCTCCCACTGAGCACATCAGCAGGATACAGCTCCTGAATTTCACAAGCTGCTGCCGGGGTAATTCCCAGGAAAAGCTCCTCCTCCACCGGGAGGAAACATGTCGGCAGGCTGATGGGCAGAGGAAATTGCTCATCTTTGCCTGTGTTTTTCAAGCCTAAGGCAATGAGCTAGCTCAGGTGGAGGGGTCCTGATGGGTATGGTGTCAAATAATTTATCAAGTAGCTCCATAATTGGCTCAGGAGCTGTTAGATCCCCCGACATGCACACTGCAACGGAGTAAACACTGCAGGACTGCGTGTGACCACGCATATACGTACACACGCCACAAACATGCACAGAAAATGAGTATAATGGACCCAGGGGAATTTTTACTTTCTGTTACCCAACCACATCCCTGAGCTGCATTGCCAACGACAAGCCCAGGACTGCAACCCCACCAAAGGCAACGGGAGCAAAACCTTGTGCCTAGTTTGTGCTACGCCCAGAGGAAATAACTCAAAGACAACTGGACTCTGGGGAGTTTCAGAGGAGCCTTTGCAGAAGGGGATTTACCCACGAAATGTCAGGGAAGGACTGGCCCCCTCCCAGCCCCCCGCAGCAGGAAAGGTCTGCGACCCACTCATTCACCCTATTTGTTATGGTCCAGAGATGCTCAACGAGGCCAGGCAGAGTCTAGAGGTACTGGTGGGGACATCCCTGCTCTCTACCCCACACCCCAAGTACCATCATCTGTTTTTGTCAATGCCAGGCTGAAAACCTCTATTTCTAGAGCCTATGAGGGAGTGCTGGTGGAGATCCTACCATCGTTGTTTGTGTCCATCTGTCTGAAGATCTTGTCTGTTCGCTTCTCGGGAGTGGATTCGTCTTCTGGCATTTTCATTACTGATGAAACCATTTTGTAGATTGCCTGAGTATTAAAAAAAAAACAAAAAGGAAAAAAAAAAAAAAAGATATAAGAAAACCATGACCCAAATGATAAAGCATCAGGACTGAGAAAAAGAATTTAAGCCTGCAGCAATAAAAAAAAGGCAGCTAACCCTGGCAGGCAGCTGCAGGACTTTATAAACCAGAACAAATAGGAATTTCTGACTGCAGCTTTTTTAATTTTTCTCTCCTGTATTCATTCACACTTCAAAAGAAGGGCCCGCACTGCTGGTTCAGTTTAACTGAAAGTCAGGGTTTAAATTAATGTATGAGCAGGTCTGAGCTAAAATACAGGAGGCAACGGTGTGTAATTCTGTTTTGTGCAACTGGGCTAAGCCGTCACCTCTTTGGCTGGCTCTTAACATACTCAGTTATGAGTATGCATGTGGGGTGTTGTACGGTTACAGGCGAATATGCCTCTGCCCCGCACACCCTCCTGGTACAGCCCGTGGGCTACGCACTCCCAGCCTTTGGGAGACGAAGACATGCTACATACAGCCTTTCATTCGGAGCTCACGTTGACTCATATTTGAAGTTAGAAAGTATTACTTTTGAGATTAATCAGGTCAGTAAAATTTGCATTTAGGGTTTTCTGATCCCATCAACACCCCACTAAGAAATCCCCAGGAAGAGCTGCAAGACTTTGGCTGCGGGCCAGCCGCACAGTGCCGTATTCATCTCTCGGGCTCTTCCCTCATTTGCACCTCGTGCTCCCACCGTGGCCCCCAGTATCCTTTTGGGGACCATGGGCTCAGGAGCCTTCCTGGGGCAAAAGGGACCCAGCCCGGCACATCCCCCATCTCCAGCTCCAGCTGTCTCAGGGTGAAGAGGTTACAGCAACATGAATAAAATATAAAATAGAGACAACGCCTCACCTGCACTATCTCTAGCATTTCCCCGCGGCTGATGTACCCGTTGCCATCCAGGTCGTACATACTAAACGCCCACTTCAGCTTCTGTTCCAGCTTGCCCCGAGAAGTGACGCTCAGGGCGATGATGAATTCCCTAAAGTCAATCGTCCCGTCACCGTTGGTGTCGAAGGTGCGGAAGACGTGCTCCGCAAACTTCGACGCGTCGCCATAGGGGAAAAAATTTGCGTATATTTTTTTGAACTCTTCCACAGTCAAATGGCCCGTCGGGCAATCTTTTAGGAAGCCCTTGTACCACTCCTGCAGCTCGTGGTCTGTGAACTCGGTGTTCTCACGCAGGTCCTGGAGCACCTCGGGGCGCAGCTTGCTGTTCTGCTTCCCCATCCTCTTCTGGATCCGGGTTCAGCGGCTGCAAAGCAAGAGAGAGCATCTGCCTCAGCTCTGGCCCCATTCGGCAGAGAGGGACCAGGGGCAGGCAGAGCCCTGTGGGAAATGGAGACCCTGCCCAGGGGAAGGGGGAAAGAGGAGGAAACAGGATGCTATAAATGACTAGGAAAATATCTCATTTCATCTCGCCTCCTCTCCTCTAGGCTCTCTCAGTGACCAGTATGCTGCAGAAGGACAAGGGAAGGCAGTTTCAGAGGGACTCTTTGGAAATATTAATCCTTATTATTAATCCTTATTATTTGGAAATAATAATCCTCATTATTTTATTTCTCTGCTACAATCCCACTCCTCTGTCATATGGACTGTCATCCCCAGGTCTGGATCCAAACTCCTGACCCACCCCAACAGGCTGATCTGCTGCGGTGACCGAGCAGGAAGGGACAGAAGCGGCGATGAAAAGTAAAATCTATCTGTTCAAAAGTGAAAGCAAGCAGGGACGAAGCGAGGGGCAGGAAGGGCAGCTGGCTCCGTGCCAGCCGCATTTGCATCGTCCAGATGCTCTCTGAAACTCCTCGGCTTATGGAGCATCTCCTCCCTCCTCCCGTGACAGCAGCACAAGGGACTTCATCCTTTCCAGCAGATCGCAACCCTCTGCCTCCCCGGACAAGCAGAGAAAAAGGCTTTTTAAAGCATAATGTTTGGCAAAACAACGCCTTCCAGGTTTATTGGGGTTTATACTTTTATATAAGCTTATTCAGTTCAATATTCCCCAATGTGGGCAAAAGGGCATTTCAACCTCAGGATTTTATCAGGATTTCAGGAGGGAGCTGGGTTTGTCCCCTCCTTTGACAGTGCCCATGCTGCGCCGGTGACCGTGCAGGTGAGACTGCCCAGAAACAGGAAAGCTCCTTCAACAAAATGAAAGATGGTCAATCTGCACTTAGGAAACAACAGGGAAAAAAGATACCATGATGCATTTTTGGCTTTTACCCCTTTCAGCCTTTCATAGCTTCTCAGCAATACCAAACCGAGCTGCCAAGCAAGAGGCTGAGCTGCTTCTCCTTCCCCAAACTCCAGAGGTTTATTCATAAGCTTTGCACAAAGTCACATCCAAACCCCTGTGTCTGGTCCGGCATAAATGACATTTCTCTGCACAGTCTGTTATGCCCCATTAGGCTCGCTCACAGCCGGTGCAGAAGGCAGGTTAGTAACAGGCCAACATCGTGTGGCTACTCAGAAACTGCAAGAGCTGAGCAATAAAGCATGCAGAGACCAGGAAAAAATATAACAGGGGCTAAGCACCTCCCAGAGAGTAAAAATCTCAGGCATGCATAAAAACCTAAAAAAAAAAAAAAAAAAGTTAAAGGTCAACAAAAAATAAGTTGCTCTACAGCAGAGATATTTTCAACAGCTGAATTTAAGCTCGTTTTATTTGTATTCCACTTAGTCTCTGCGTCGCCTCAGCAATGTGAAAAATCCACATCCTGCTCTGTGGCTTAATGCTCAGAGACAAAAACCAGCCAGCTGCTCATTAGTTCAATGCATCGGGCTTAACGGAAAACTGTGTTGTCATTAGCACTTCTGTTTTCTAGAAAAGCTGCCAATATTTCAGCTTCAAAGCCTTATTTTTGTCCATCATATTGCAGAGTTTTCTCCGGCCCCCGACATACCTCTACTTGCTCCCAACATGCAGGGATGCTACAGCTCCCGGTCCCTGCCAGCTTCATCCCTAGGAGAGCACTGGGCTGCCCTCCAGTTAAACCACTACCTCCCAGCTGCTCCCGCTGCCTTTCCATCTTTGAATCTTCCCTGCTCCAGATATTCATCCTTGCAGTGCCAAGGGCAGAAAACACAATATTCTACTCTGCTGCAGTCAATTTGCAGAAAACAGTGGCTTGGAGCAAATAACGGATTGACCGTGGTCCTTTTTTTTCAGAGCAGAAATTGTAACACTACATTTCCGTCCTTGGATGAAGAAGTGCCTTTGGGTCCTGTCCTTCAGTGAATCCCCTTGGCTTCATGGTGCCCACTCCAAAACCAGTCCCTGCCTCACTGGCAGCAGTCTCAGACTTCCCTGGGAGAGGGGCCGGAGGAGCAGCAGAGCCTGCTTAATGCACGAGCTGGACTTCAAGCAGAAATAAACTCAGCTTTAATCATGCACAGGGTTGGAGGACACATGGTAAAACTTCCAACTGGTAGTTAAAAGAGGTTTGAAAAGGTTTAATGCCATTTCTCCCTTTTCCTATAATACCTTTATTATTTCTGTTCCTTTAAAAATAGAGGCTCCTAGACAACAGAGAGGCAAGATGTTAACTCCATTTATTAGGTTTCATTACTTCTACTATCAATAAGATATATCCTGTTCTTTGGATGGATGCTCATTTAATATCAGCTTCAAAAGCTTGATATTCAAGTAGTCTTTGCATTCAACAAATTAGAGGTTATTTCAACCCTTCCTCCTCTTTTACATCATTTTATATCAGAAAAGTAACATGCAATGCAATGCTCTGAATACAACCCTGCATATGAGCTTTCTTAAAGGCTTCATAAAGTGTTCAACCCAAATATAACCCTGCAGTTGTTGTAACCAATTTGTTACGAATAATTAAATAACCAACATTAACATTAATTTATTAAAGCCCATCTAAAAAATCAGCTTCGATATGAATTGTGATTTCAGGTAGCTCCTCCAAAATGAAATGCCTAAATATCTCATTAATCATGACAGCAACCCCTGCTGCTGGCATCCAAGTGACATTTCATTCGATTGCTATAAAATGCTTTCATCAAATCACTTTCCGGAGGCTCAGCAGCTGATTTAGCCACAAGACCACTCGGAGGATGGCTGCTAATGGAAATCACCAGGAGTGGGTCTGGGATACTCAGGTCACTCCTGTGATTAGGGCTGTGGGGTGTTTTTTTTAACAAGCCTGTACCAGCCAAATCCTCGCTGCTGTGGGTGTAGAAGGCAAGGGAGAAGAGACATCCTTGCACCCAATGTCGCCCCGGGCAGTCAGCAGAGACCTAACTCCAACACAGCCTGTCCCTCATTTCCCATCACACCAGGGTGAAATCCAGGGAAGCGATGCCACTCGTGTTGCAGCGAGGTCCGTCCCGGCTTAGCTTGATGAGCAGAAGCCCTCAGAGCATCCGGCACTGTCATGGCAGTAACAAAAATAATCACAGGAATGCTCTTGAGGTGATCAGACAAGGAAAAGCTTGGACGTATAATTGCAGACCAGGAGACTTCACAAGCGTATCATTGCTCATGAAAGCAATGCTCAGTCATGTAAGGCTCAAAGAGAAGGAAATGTAGATGCATTTTTGTTCCAGTTTCACATCAAAATTTTTGTTAAAATTATGCAGTGCTGCTGCCTGCAATAAGCTACATCCAGGCAGGCGGCAAACCGAGATGCCAGAGAACTCCTACTCCTCTGCCCTTCTAGGCTCACCAAAATTAAGTAATAATCTCATGGCAAAAGCCCAGTAATGAGAAAAAGGTCTTTTACTGAGGCCAAGACACACATCAGTTATGCAGCACTACGGTGAGTAACTGTAGTAACTCTGAAACAGCTAAAGTAGCAATTCTGTGTTTTTACCAACAGATGGACTAGTTGTCAGCATCCAGGCCCTGAAGTATTTGAAATACTTGTAACAAAGCTCAGTACATCCTACTTTTACATGAACTCTCCGGCAACCACCAGCTACCGCGGGTAGGAGTGTTCTCCGAGCACGTAACCCAGAAAGCCAGAAGCCAGCCCAGCTTTTTCACTGCAGACCTTCTAAAGGCAATCCCCCCGCCCTCGAACTGAACTCCTGATGGGATCCTCTTATCGCATCCGTTACGGCTGCAAAAGGAGGAATGACTCCTCAGAGCTGCTCTTCCTTGTGCAAACCCCCTTGGATACTGATTTAGTGTTAATAAAAAGATGAAAATTGATGAAATGTCTGTCTGTAGGACAGAGGTGCTCTCCAGCAGAGAAAGGCAATGCACAGAGAAATAGAATAAATACTCTTTATATTACCCAAGCTATCTGCTTTGCAGGGGGAAATCTAGCACCATTTCTCTTGCAGTGCTCACTTATAAAACGGCACAAACGTGTCTGAGATCTGGTATGGTCCTGAAGCTGTAGCACAGTGCCTCTGGGACTGCAGGAGCCCAAAGCAAATGAACAGCATAGGCCAGACAGCAAATACCGCTCTAAGTTGGTGTGAAATGCAAGAACCATTCCCATAAGGGTGCAAGATTTTTTATTAAAACACTTAAAACATCACATCCATCACTGACGCCTTCTGCCTTGGGGTGCAGAAGAAGAGACAAAAGGATTTAGCCTACAGGGGTCTTGCGAGAATTGTGTTAAGAAAGGCTTTTACAGTGATGGTGGTCAAATACTGGCATAGGTTGCCCAGAGAAACTGTGAAGTCTCCATCCTTGGAGATACTGAAAACCCAACTGGACATCGTCCTGGGCACTCTGCTCTAGCTGACTCTGCTTGAGTAGAGGGGGCGGACTGGATGATTTCAAGAGGTCCCTGCTAACATCACTGTCCTGTGAAATAGCCTCAATATCCTTTTTCCTATGGCCAGGTGACGATGAGAGCCATGAGGAGGTCCTGCTCCCCTGGGGCAATTCAGCAACCGTGGTGCCTTGTTCTGAGGCTGTATTTTTTTAAAGTTTGATCCTTGTATTCAAAACTAAACCAAAACACAACACAAAAACCCATCAGTAGTTCAAATAAAAGCCTCAGTCACTAAGGATCTGTGTTGCCATAAACCCCTGGAACACACCCTGGGGGAAAAATGTTTTGGGCTCTGGTAGCACCGGGGCTCACCAACTCGGTCAACGCACAGATGTCTTTAAGAAGACTCCAGCTCCTGTGGGCCAAACTGCAAGAGGGAGACAGGTTTTTGGGCACCCCAGCTAGCAACAAATGCCTAGCGGTAAGAAAAGATCATGTAGCAAATAGGCTATAAAATGGGCTTATAACAATATTCTCTGGCCCATGCTTTGCCCAGGGCTGGT